CGGGAGCGGGATCTGAATCTGAGGGACCGCGACCTCATCATGCGCGAGCGCGAGCTCGCCGCGCGTGAGCGTGGCCATTAGTGGGGACGAGCTTTGTTCTGCCTTTAATAATCAGCTCACGGACTACGATCAAAGAGTAATTACTGTATGTAGCTCATGGACTACAATTCGAAACAGCTGCACTTGTACTAGCCGAGATTTGATAAGTGTCTATTAGTCCACGTCCATAGCCCCCCAGTGTGACGACTCTGCTTGCATGTCAAGCCGGCCCCAAGCATCTGGCCCAACCTGCGATCCGCCAACGGCCGCCCAGTTTTTGGCTTCCGAATCCGCCCAGTCAGGGACCGGATCGGTCGAGTCTCCACCCGCCCAATCGGTCGCATCCAGTTCATCCACATCAAACGGAATGGCCAGTGCGTTTGCAAACGCATCCTCGACAATCTGGTCCCGTTCTTTCGGCGAAAGGGACGGCCCAGCCCCACTCCAGGCGGACTCGAGAGCGGCATTGTAGATGGCAAGGACGTTGTCAGGAATAACGGCATCGTCACACTCGCCAGCCACTATATGCTCGCAGACTTCCAGCAGGGATGCACCGCTGAGTTCGATGCAATATGGACATTTCCAGCTTGTCTTTGTGCTGGTGGCGCCGCCGTCGTGGGTGAGCATGCGAATAGCGCGGGCTTCAGGTTGGTGAAGCTTGGCTTTCATGTGGGCAGCTTTCGAGCGCAGGTCCTTGAATCGCAAACGGTAGCGGCTATCTTTGGGGAGGGACGGGTCGTCATGGCATTCAATGCAGATGAGGTCGTCGAGAGAAGAGATTTTGGTGGCGTTTTGTGGCGTAAACTTTCTCCCGCCATCGATCTCCACAAGCCCAGCTATCACCGCAAACTCTTTACTGTCCATGTCGGCACTCGAATGCTCAGCCGCGATGTGACGAAGGAGGTTTACGCGTGCGTAATATAATGTCTCCCCGAAAGTTTCTGAAAACTCCTCTGGATCATCCTTGCCGCACCAGGGGCATGTCCAAAAAACGCGCCCATTTTCATTGGTATGATGAGCCCCACACGATATCAGAAAACGTGTGCAGCGGTTTGTAGGTTTGTGATATTTTTTTTGGTGGTGTTCGAGGCGGGATTGGAATTCGTGGTCTCGCTGGACGTCCTCGATAGAACAGGTCGGATCTTCTGCGCACTCGTCGCACTGGACGACGGGCTTGAGCTCCTTGAGAGACGCCAAGTTTCTGGGCAGGATCATCAGCGATGGGTGGCAGGGATAGTACGATGAGGGGCTGGCTACGTACATCATCATCTCTTTGAGTGTGGCGCATCCCTGAGCCGGATTGACATCCTTATCTCCACCCTCATCGTCATCGTCTTGTGGATCCGCCACCACGATACGTGGGATCACTTCTTCCTCCGTTGTGTCTTCGACATCCTCGCAACTCTGCAAGCTAGATATGCCACGCTCAAGCATCGTGGCACGCGCAGCAGCCAGAATTTCGACGAGTGTGGATGGTTTCCCCAGCTCCTTGAGTCGTTGAAGACGTTCGGCACGCGTGATATTGGTCCGCATGTCACGCAAAGCTCGGTCGCGGACCTCCAATGCATGCTTTTGCTGGGTACGTGCCGAGACCCTCTTGAGAGTTCTGACTGTCCATTTGAAGACGCTCATGGGCGTATCATCATCGCCGACAAGCTCCTGGTCGTACTGAGTGGAATATTGAGTACATCACGTTTAAGGGAGGTGGAACAACATACCAGAAGTTCTGTCCAGCCTTCCCCACCACCACGGGCCAAACAATCCTGCAGGTTATGAGCCTGCTTGAGTAAGATAGCAATACGAGGTTCTCTCTCGACAAGCTCGTCAATGTCGAGCGGAGGGACGTCAACGGGGGCTCGGTAAACTGCAGGTTCCCTTCCTGATTGCATATCGCCGCTGTAACCTTCACCGGCAGCGATCCCGTAGAAATCGAGACGGCGATTGCCATCGTTGTAGTGCTCGGCGATGGCTGTCGAGTCGGAACGATGACCCATGGCCTTTCTGGCCGTGTCCATGTCCGTCGCCTTGAGCAGACGCGTAGCGAACCCGTGACGTAGGCAGTACGGCGTAGCTGCATACTCGCCGCTCCCTGGTAAAGGATAGTCGGTCAGTTATTTGATAGTGGAGTCAACGGAGACCATACCGTCCATACCAACAGCTGCGGCCGTTTTGTGGAAAAACACACGATGAGACTGGCTGGACATGGGGTTTGTGGTCACAGATAGACCGCGAGGCCCAGCGGCGCGGAAGAAGGGGAGGTCGGGGTTTTTCCACTGAATCACATCCTCGGTCCCAGCCAGGACATCCTGCATTGTTTTATGGTGGAGCAGGTCGCCGCGTCGAATGGCGACTGCAAGGATGAAGGCGGCGAGGTACATAAAATAGTTTCGAGCCTCCCCAGGAGGACGAATGCTATAGTCGATACGCATTCTATTTTCAGAATAGCCTTTAAATATCGTAATTGTGAGATCTGTGTCAACATGAGCTTCCAGCTCGCCATGTCGGAGAGTGATATCCTAGGAGATGAATCAATTGTAAGCAAAGAGGCAAGCACAAGTTCACGGACCCCATTCTTGAGGAAGGTTTTGTATGGGGGGTGAGGAAGAGTGACGATGGGCGGAGCCCTGTCATGAATTCTATCAAAATGGCGACACCATGTTGTAGTGCCTGGAGGACAATTTAGGTGCGGGATAATGACTACTGAGCATGCGTACGTTCTCGTAGTTGACAGGATTGGACAGAGCTTCTTCGAGGAGAAGCCTCACTTCCATGTTGCCAAAAATCATCCGCTCCATCGGGAGAGAGACAAGGTTGTATCGTCTTTGTAAACCCTTGCACCACTGGCAAAACAAATTGGTTGGTTGTTTGTGTTGACTACCAAGAAGTGTGCTTACTTGGTAAGTGCTGTCCGTCCACTTTTTATGGTCCGCTTGACCGCTGTTCTCGAGGATCTACAGGATAACTGATTTGCAACACGAAGGATGGCTGAGAAACTGCGACACTCACCAGCCATAAGAAATCCCATCGCAGGGTCAATAACGTCTGATATCGCATGAGTTGCTCCGCGTTTTTGCCTATCTTGCCGCGAGAGGAGTGGACTCGAATGCAGAGAAATTCGTACGCTCGTACTGGGAGTGTTAATGTCTAGTACTCGCTGGAGAGTCTATCAATAGCTTACCTTTTAGTGGGTTGTCCTCGGTGTCGACCCATTCAGATCCCACAAGGCGAGGGAAAGCGGCTGCGACGAATGCCAAATACGACTCGAGGACAGTCCTGCGATTCGTGATTGTGCGCTTGGAAAGGGTGATAGTCTCATTGTCTTCCGTGAAGTTCTCCTGTACGACTGCTCTGACATATTCGTTGTTGATGAGGGCCAGGAAGTTTTTGGCTATCTCGCGTCTCTGGGGTGGGACCATGGGTGGCGAAGAACAAGAAGTAAGGAGTTATGTATTCATTACGTAGGCAAACCCTGGATGCTTGCGTACTGGATGTGCTGCTATCCATAGCAAGACATTCGTCCTCTGAGCTGCAGGCTCGGCTCCATCGGCTGCGCCCTGGCATACGCCCAGCGCCCGCCTCCTACCGCACCCTAACACAGTCCGAGTACCTCCCGATGCGCGCTCGGGACCACTGTCCACGATGCTCTGCAATCGGGAGGTATGCGACCGTCGTGAACGCTTACTCTGGAGGGCACAGCACGGGGATATCGAGCCCCGGACGCGAGAGTTCTGCTCTGGTCGGTGCAGTCCTCGCTCCACACGGTCTGCTCTTCACGAGATCCTCGACATGACGGTGCTCGGCGCCGGACACGCGTGGATGTGCGGCACGCCATGGGCGAACGCGTTACAATCCTGCAATCCAGCCGCGGCGCGTCAGAATGAGTCTGCGCGCCGGTGAGCGTACATGGCACTTACGTGCGTGGAGCAGCAGCTCCAACTCGCCACGGGTCCGCGCAGCAAGCGGGAGCTTGAGCGCTGTAGCTCGCCGTCGGCGCCCTTGCCAGCGGGTGATGCTCGTCGCGTCGAGGCGTCGCGATGGGTGACCCATTGCGTGTATCACGTGGGGACCAGTAGTGCACAGCCACACAGTGTGGACCCCTGCAGACCCGCGAAGAAAGCATGTGGTCGAGAAGCCTCTGAAGTGAAAAACCTGTTGCTGTCGACCCTGGGAGCTCTCAAAGGAAAGGCTGCGCACAAAATGGTTGTCGTTCAGGACCGAACGCGGGAACGTGGATCGATGGACAGTAGCGGGATATCCAAGTGAGATAGGCGGAGGTTAGGAGCCAAGGGTGCGGGATGTGAAGCACCAGTACGTGGGATGTGTGACAAACGCGAGCACATCGTTGACGCAATTGTTAAAGTGTTAAAGTCACATTCAGTGGAAAACACGTTCTGTGACAATGTGAGTCTCAGTCGTAAGCTAAGGCTCAAATTTCGTTCACCTTCGTATTGCCCAGGGCCGCCATATGCCTCGCCGTAGAAGTCTATGGCCTGAGACAACATTAATTTACCTGTAAGATTAATTCCTGGGGTTCCCGGACCTCCAGCAGGTCCGCCCCATGTCCACGAGCCTTAAGTCATATCCTAGGTTTGTTGATTTCCAGCGCGACGCTCGTCACGTGTGAGTGACATCCAGTGTTTTCTGAATGAGGATGAACCAAACATGTACACAGTGATTCGAGGCGTTAAGAGTACATGAGAGAAACAGCTAAAGTAGTTAGGTTGTTTGAGAGATGTGGCGTCGAAGTTGTCCGATAATTTGAAGTGGAGATAGAAAAGGCTTCGGACAGACAGACAAGTAATTATTAACTAGGACACAAAAAAAGTATCAAAATTTGGACGAGTGGAGATTTGAAGCTTGACGGCCTGGCAGAGGGGCCCTTGCCAATCCCTGGAGGAAAGCTGACGTCATGTGACGAGGGCCACATGAAGAAAAGGAAGGTCCTAAAAAGTGCAAAAATTTGGACGAGTGGAGATTCGAACTCCAGACCTCCCGCAATCCCAACAAGTGCGAAGCGGGCGCAATAACCAACTATACTACACGCCCATGTTAATGGTGGTATATCAATTGTCTATAGCTTTGGCCTTGATCGTCTTTGCACGCTTCACCCCCCACCCGCCAAGAAACAGCAGGGCCCCACGTGCGGATGACAAACATGTTCGGCTCAAAATTTGTGACCCGAGCCTCCTCGTCAGCTGACCTCGCTTCGCTCTGCTCAAAATTTCAACTTTAATTTGTGGCCAGGCTCGTCAGCTAATTTATAGCCAGGCTCGTCAGCTGACCTCGTTTTTCCTCCCCCCTTAAGATCGAGGTGCTGGGTTCGATTCCCAGTTTGTCCATTTTTGGACCCTTTTTAGAGGGTCCTATTTCTATTCCTCCTTACCTCAGGAACTCCTCCGTGCTTTTTATTTATTTTTAAAGTTTTTTTTATTTTCCCATTTGTTGAGCACAATTATATGGTGTATGTAGCTAAGACTAAAGTGTGAGGTATATTTCAAGTTGAACTTTGGCACTTGGTGCAGCAGATTCTAGACACCCTGGTGAGTTTTATATGGCATGTCGTGGGCACTACTTTGTGGTATATGCTGAAATGTGTCAAGTTTGATCTGGATAGTTGTTCTGTGGCAACCACATTTGAGTCCAAGGGTTCATTTCGTATGTCTTGCAGTTCATTAATGCATCTACAGTATTACAGTATCTGTTTCGGATCCCCCATGGGGGCTGTTTGGAGCGGTTTGGGTTACATTCTCGATCTTAGCCAGTGTTGCATTTTAAGGTTAAGCCTTAATTAAGGCTAAGCCTTAATAACACCTTAATATTAAGCCTTAGAATGAGCTGGGAACGTAGTTAAGGGCTTATTAAGGGCTTATTATTGACGTAAGGATGCTTACTCGTCACCGGCTATGGGCGACTCGATGGTAAAATCGGTTGAACATGGGCTCAACGACGAGACTGGAGAAACTCAGCATTTGGTCTTGCAATTGTGCTCATGCGACACTTTGGCATTTTTCTGAGGTACCAGACTGTCGTTTGGAGGCCTTGCGGGATCGTGGGAATTTTAAACGTAAGCCTTAATTAAGCCCACCCTTATTAACCCCTTAACTTGTTCTTAAGCCTTAACCAAAAATTTTACCCTTATTAACCCCTTAAAATGCAACACTGATCTTAGCTGTCTGTTAATTCATTCACTCGCTTATGTGTATGCGACTCCACCGCGAATTTGCCAAAGATGGTGATTGAGTGGGGTTGCATTGAGCGACATGCATGTGGTTCAACTTATGTGTTGGAGGAGGGGTGGGTTCTGATACTGAGCACCCATGCTGACATTCTCTAGGCTCACGGCGGGTTGACCAGAGAGATTTCTTCTCAGCTGTGGGGCTTTTGAAGCGGCTTGTTTGATTTTAATTCACTCACTTGTATGTATGTTTGTGTCTGTACGTATACCTGTGAGCGCACTTATATATACAGTTGAAGCTGTCTTAACCCATAGGCCTTGGTGGACTGCCCAGAGTATGGGCTGCCACGGCATGGGAAATACTCTGGCTATAACTGGCGCCAACTTTGTAGTGCCGGGTCTGCATTGTATTATACGTTTCATACGGGGAGAGGTTCTGGGAGCCTCCTGGTCTTGAATGTAGGGCTTGTTTACAACGTTTAATACCAGCGCTGCCGGCCCGAAAAATTCCCGTATTTAACGTATAAAACATGTATTTAATACCGTTTAATACCGTTTAAAACCCGTCTATCAGAGGAAAAGGCGGCTACACAACTGTTAGATGCCAGGGAGAATGATGCGGGGTAGTCTCTTACTAATTCGGTTCCAGCTTCTTCGGCAGCTCCCAACACACTCCAGTAGGCCGCCCATCCCTTGGCCGCCGGAGAGGTGCGGTCTGCACTGAAGACTGCGGCCATTAAGGCCTCAGTTTGTGGGAAATTGAAGTCTTTCTCGTTACAGAAGCGTTCTGATGCGACTCCGAAGGCTTCATAGTCTTCTGACGAAAGTGCCATGCCAGTATTGGCTGGGGCGGCGGTGAAAAAAGTGACACTGATTGGTATCACATGACCGTATGTTAGCCGACGGTGTCGCCCGGCGCCGATAGCTCCGATGGCCAGAGTTTCGACCAATTGACTTTGTTATGAGTCCCATACATTCTAGGAAGGTCAGAGGCAACTGCTACGAGGTTTTGGGCATTAAATACAGTTAAATACATGGCATCCGAGACGCCTCCGGTATGTAACGTTTTATACACGTATAATACACCTCTGTTTAATACACTGTTTAAATACACCCTTTAAAACCCGGCACTACAACTTTGTTGGACACAATATTGCTGGATATAGTGGTTGACCATTAATTTAACAACTTCTAAATGTTCTGCCAATACAACCGGACCATGTTTGAGATGTTGAGGACAAAACCTCAGCTGAATTGAGATTGCTTGGCCAATTCCGAACCACATTCGAGGCAAATTCCAATCCAAATGCATGCACATATGAGGTGCAAGTGGACGAGTTTTGCTGCCAAGCAAATTTCCGTCATCGATAGGTCAGAATTTGGGTGAGACAGCACAGAATCCCAGTCCACGTATGGGTTTTGAGCCCCCAAAATGTATGGATTATGCAGATTTATGGGATTTAGTTGGGAACCAACATGGTGGACACCAAAAAGCTATGAGGTGATGCAGATTATGGGTTATGAGGGCTGTGGGTTAGGACAGCTTTGGCTGTAGTATGTGTTGTGGTTCAGGTTGGACTTTGGTGCTGCAACAGTCTTGTGATGGTGAGTTTTCTGGATTTGTGGTATGTGTCGGTGGGTTTGATCTGGAATCTTGTTCGGAGTTCCGACCAAGTTTGAGTTCCAACAGTGCCCATTTGTGAGTTGTCTCGTCTCGTATGGCTCGCTGTTCATCAAGTGCATCTACAGTATTTAGTACGGTATGTGTTTCGGATTCTGTATTGGTTGCAAAATTTGCGCACGATGTCCTTGAGGAATTCTATGCAATGCCAGCCGGTGTACCGTCCAAGTTCAGTTACCTGTGGTTCAAAAGTGCATTGTTTCTGGTTCAAGGTGATCATGAAGTCAAATTTTTTTCGCTTCTGTCTGTAATCGGGGCATAGGGATCTGCGAGCGTGGTTTGGAGCGCAGATGGAAGTCCAGGCCCGGGGGCGATGGTGTGATTTATGCTTGCTTTGTACATGTACACGGGGATAATCCCTGGAAACCGGGGTTCGTTGTTCGGACTGTGTGGGGTGATGCTGCCTATCTACCTACGTACCTGCCCCACGGGGGCTGTCTCGACCTGCGGCCCGGTGTCTGTGGGTCGAAATATTAATTCGAAGCGACTGCTGTGTGTTTGATTTGATTGTTCACTCGCTTATGTGTATGCGACTCCACGCGAGCTTGCCGACGGTGATTGAGCGCGGAGTCGATGCATGGCGCTTGAGGGATGTGTGTGGTTTTTATTATGTACGGTGGTGGGCGAGGTGCGGTGGGTTTCGACACTGTCGCGTTTGGGATGTTTCGACCAGCGCTAGGGCGCCGCTTACTGTCTGCGGGTTGACATATTCATTCGAAGCAGCTGCAATCTGGTTCGTTTGTTTGATTTTAATTCATTCACTCGCTTATGTGCTTGCCGACGACGGTGATTGAGCGGGGGTTGGGTTGGGTTGGGTTGAAGGGCGCTTGAGGCTTGTGGGTATACCCGCGAGCGTCGAGACTCATGCTGTGTGCTCGGTGTTGTTGTCCACCACCCACTGGCAGAGTGCAGGCGCGCCTCACCGTGAGCTGCCTCCTCGCTTCGCTTGGCAGCGCATGCCATCACGCCGCCGGGCAGCAGAAGAGAGGGCATCACAAGTGGCTAGATTACGCGTGTCATCGGCCCTGTGTGCCTGCAGGTTGGGGTGGGTAATCTAATCCGCTAGTGCGGATTATCTACGCGCCGATCGTGATCCCGCCCGCCTCGGAGGTACGCGCGCGGCGTCGATCGTGATCCCGCCGGGGCGGGTGGCGGTGCGCGGGTGGGAATACGTAAACCGAGGGTGAGTGCCAGGACGGCGGCGGACAGCAAGGTTAGAGACTCAACTGACCACGACGCGGCGAATGCACCGCGCAGGCTGCGCGTGCAGTGATTGGGTTAGTGTGAGAAGATTCGGATCTCCCGTGCAGGGGGGGCGCAGGCTTGGAAAAATTGGTGTGGAGATTAATTGGGAGGATTCGGTGATTGGGAAGGCCTCGAGGCACGAGGGGTGATGGGACCGGGTGGGCGTGCCGGCCTCGAGGCTCGCTAAGCTGGGTTGAGGGTTTGCACAGCGCACTTCATTTCCCCAGTGCGGCATGAGGCAACGTCTGATGGCCTGCCGCGTGCTGCTGCCGCTGCGGTTGGGCGCAGCGCTGGCGGCGCAGCGGCGGGGCGGGGGGCGGGGGGCTGGGGGAACGTCGGCGATTCTGGGGGGCACGCTGGCGGGGTGTGTGGGCGGTGGGTGGGAGTAGACACGATATGAAAGTGTTCGGTGCAACGTGCAGTAGCAGAAGAGTTGCCGGATTGGGCGGTCGGGTGTTGTGTGGTATAAGTTGTGGTGTGATGGGATTTGTCTTCCGTGTCTCTCTCTCTCCGCCGCGCAGTCCAGGTGGATTCCCTGAATGCCCTCCATCCTCAACCTCAAGTTCAAAGTCCGTCCCCGCGCCCTCCTGCGCGCCCTGACCTGACCTTTCTTTCTCCCCTTGCCCCTTTCCCGCCCCTTCCCCTCCCCTGCGTTTTTCGTTCACGCGAAAAGGGCAACAAGTCGTTTGTTGCGTTCAGCAACCTCAATGACTCCGAGTCCCTGACCAAGACCTGGAAGGTGCGCACCCTCCGCCGTTTTCCAGCCACCGCTCACCACCCCGCGCAGGTCTGTACAAAGGTCGCGAGCTACCTCGAGCAGGGGCAGCGCCTCGAGAATCTGTCCTGGCGGTATGCCCTCCTTCCCTTCCATCTTTCTCATGCCACAGCGCTCATCGACCGTGCGCAGGCTATGGCACCTCCAGAACCTGATGGTCGACACGGACA